ACAAGGCGTCTGTTTTCTCTCTTCTTTTAATGCTGACATGCCCAGCATGAGGATTCCACGGCTCTCAGGTCTCGCCCTGTGTCAGCACGTGTGTTCCTATGTGATGTTCCAGTCGGTCCCATGCCCATCCCCGCCCCGCCCCCGCGCTCGCCATTTCCCAAGGTGAAAACCTGCAGACCCTCTCCTCTCAGTGCACGGCACGCCGCAGCATGCCGCGCCTTCTGCTCCTTCCTGACTGCTCCTGTCACCTCCTGCTGCCCGGGCATTCTGCCGACTTCCACTCCCAGCCTCCCTGAGACCCACTTTTCACACTCTGCCTGTGAATGAGACCGTGGCTTTCTGTGACTGGCTCATTTCACTTAACAATCCAGGTCCCCCAGGTTGTTGCAAATCACCAGTTCCATTCTTTTATATGACTAAATAGTATTCCATGGTGTATAAGTTCCCATTCTCTTTACCACTGACCTATCAGTGGACACTTAGGTTGTTCCCAGGTCTTAGCTGTTGTGAACGGTGCTACAGTTAACGTGGGAGAGCACTTGTCTCTTGTTTTTTTAATTTTCTGTGTTTAATGCTCACAAAGCGCTTGTCTGCTTGACAGACTGGCTTCATTTCTTTTGGAGATAGTCCCAGTAGTGGGATTAGTTCTATTTTTATTTCTTAAGGACGCTTCTCGAGGATTTCCATAATGGCTGTGCTAACTCACATTCCCACCCACAGTGTGCAAGGCTCCTCGCTCTCCACAGCCCTGCCAGCCCTGGCACCCTTTGGCTCTGCTGATAGCCACTGAGCACAGCTGGTCTTCGTGTTGCCGAGGGGCCCTTCCTTGCTAACCCTGGTCTCAACAATAGTGCTTAGAAACTCTGTTGAGGAAACACGTTTCACAGGCTCGTGACTGATCAACGCTTTTACAGAGCAAAGGGACAGGTTTGTGACATCTCTATGCTGCACCACCAAGGAAATCTTAGTGAACAAAGTCAGGAGCTGTGGAGGAAAACTTCAGTCACTCCAGAGTTGTCAATTTATGGTCTTTTATCTAGAGAATCATAATATCCCTGGGGGTGTGGCATAATTTTCTGTGTGATATTGTGCATGAATCTTCAAGCGATCTGAAAATTGCGAGTCATTCTCTTATTAAGTACTGAACTGTTATCATAGTAAACATGGGTCCACTGATTGCACAATTATGTGCACATCACATAACGTACATGTTTTAAAGTACGATCTTTCTAGCTTTACAACAGTGCTACCAGGTATGTGGTTTTATCTCCATTTAAATATCAGGAAATGGAAGTTCACGGAGTTTTAAGTGCCGGTGAGTGACTGGCCGCAGACTCACAGCCAGGACAGTCAGAGCCCATTGCCCTGAGCCTCTGTGCTGTTTTGTGTACTATTAGAGGTGATCGAGAATATAATTAAAGGTTATTTTAGAATAAAATACGAGAATGTACAGTAGAGAGATTTGAATGGGCTTCCTAGAGCAGCGGAGAAAGGAGTCCCAGCATGCGGCTTTCCTCGCTGCCGCGGTGGAAATTCGCAGTAACTGGCCCAGGGATAACAGCGTGTGCCAGCAGTGCAGTGCGGGGCGGGCAAGGGTCCTCGGGGAAGGCGGGCGCTGGGGTCTGATCCTGTACGTGACGAGGTGCCGCTGTGCTGCTGAGCAGAGAGAACCGAGGGCGACGGTGAGCCGTCCTGGGCAGAGTGAGGGGTTTCTTCCTCCAAATCTCAGCCAGCCTGAGCAAGCCAAGAGCTCCAGAGGGTTCCCGCAGCTCTGGGGTAAGTGGCACTCGGGGCACCAACCGTCTACCACTCCCACTAAGGACTTTTCAGTGGCATTCAAGGTACTGCCTGTCTCAGCTTCCGCTCGCCCCACCTGCATCCATGCCCCGTCCACACTGGACCCTGGGCACCTTCCGGACCACCAGCCTGCTGTGTGCCCGTGTCGGGGTCCATCTCACTTCCTGTCTCCCCTCACCTGAGCTCCAGCCCAGCACCCAGAGCCGCCCCCAGTGTCTTCTCCCCACGACAGCACAGCAGTGGTGTCCAAGTAGCCGAGTTCCTGTGCTTTAAGGTCCCACCTCACTCCCAAAGATTGCAGCACTGATCCACAAAACCTGAGGATATTGTTAGCACCGTTAGCAGCACCAGGAGCCTTTCTGCTGTGGTTGGAGCGATCAATGCCGACCACTCTGCTCTTTGAGGTCTCAGCAGGAATCAGACAGCGACCAACATGAAGTTCTCGGGAAGAGGGTTAATATAGGGACCCTGTGCAAAGCACGGGCAGAGGACAAGGCCACAGGGACAGCACGCCCACCTCCCTCCCACCAAAGCAGCCGGGAGGGGAGAAGTCACCAGAGCCAGGGCAGAGAGCCGCCACACAGGGCCGCTTGAGGGGACAGTGGACTTGGAGGTCTCCAGCAAAGGGACCTTGTGGACAGAGACTGAAGAGGAAGCACCCAACCCAACCGCTTCCTTGCCAACCCCTTGCCTGGGCGCCCAGCGGCCGAACCCAAGCAGGTGCGGCAGTGTGGCAGACGCTGCGTGCTCACATGGGGAACCTGACGGCCAGGGCAGAGGAGAAGGACGTTCAGAGATAAACAGACAGTAGCAGACACATCCACGTGTGACACTTCACACACGGCATCTGTAGAAGTATAAGCCCGAAATTACCCAGGCAAGCGTAAAAATAGGTGCTTCCCTCATGGAAAGCATGTACATACCTGCAAATGTCAAAAGGTTAATCAAAAGTCTTTTATTAAAAATTCAGCCATCCGGATAAAAATTAATGCTCAAAATTATTAGCCTTCCTATTATGTTATAATGGAGAAAGTAATCCAGTTTGACATCTCATATGATAAAATAACCAGGAACAAACTTTTTAAATGTGTACATGAAGGAAACTGTAAAACGTAACTGAGGCACACAAAAGCACGGGACGGTAGGGGAACCCAGGCGGGAGGGCGTCCCAGCAGGGGCGTGAGGGCCGGCGAGCTGGCGCTCCTGTGTGAGCTCTCAGCACAGCCTCCTTCCAGGCATCAGTCTGTGCTCCAGCCACGAGGGCTGTGGCCACTGTTAGCAACTTGCGCGGGTTTCCAGGGCTGCTTCCTCCTTCAGCTTCTTAAGTGGAAGTATTATGCCGGGACCCCCGCCACACCTGACTGCGAGGCTGCCCTCCCCGCCTCCCTGCAGCTGAAAGGGCGGGGAGCAAGGTCGTGTCTGTGGGCCTCCGTGTGGCCTGCACGGGCCCGGCTCCTCCCCAGTGTGGTCGGCGCTCGGGGTGGCTCTGCTCCTCGGCACTGGGGTGCAGCTCCCTCCAGTTGCTGCTCCGTGGTCTGCTGTCCTCTCACCCCAGCCCCTGCGCACGGACCAGGCTGTCCGCCGAGCACCGCCCCTGGCAACCCCGCGTTCAGCAGCGTTTCTCCTGGAGCGGAGTGTGCCAGAGTAACCCTCCTTCCGGCCTCCAGGGACCACTGGCCTGGCTCCTCCCAGAGAGCCTCTCCTTCCTCTGCAGGGGAGGCCCGAGAATTTCAGAAGCTCCTGTCCCACCTCGGACATCAGCCATTCATTCCTGAAAAGTCTTGTTCTTTGGGAACGTCACAGATGAGTGTTCAAGGGTCATGGCCTCTACAGGCCAAGGTAGAGCTCCACAGGACAGCGGCAAGATAGTCCATGCCTGAGAACTGTACTGCGAATGAGCTTCCATGCGTGAAAGACGGTGATTCCTGAGACTACAGTAGCAGGAAGTGGGAAACAACTGCAAATGGCTAGGCTCCAGCCTGTGACAAGCGGAGGGCCAGACGTGAGGAATGTCTCAGACACCGTAATGCCTTAAGTACTTGAATGTTTGTGAGCATCCCGGTGGTTCACTTTCAAGGAGGGCATCATTGCAGCCACTTTCAAGCAACTTGAATGCTCATTTTGTAGTTAGGGCTGTGACGTTCCATAGAAAAAATGCGGCAGCTTTACATAGACTGAAATACAACAATCTCCATCATCTAATTTCAGGTGGAAAAATAAAAAGCAAATGAATAAGTAGTGTATATGCTCCAATTTGTGAAAAGTGACTTTGTTCATAGATGATATGTTAGTAAGTGTGTGCACACAAGTGGGTACCTTTAATCCCAGCATTCTGGGAGGCTGAGGCAGGAAGATGGACAGTTTAGCAATTTAGCAAGACCTTGCCTTAAAAGTAAATAAAGGGCTGGGAATATAGCTCAGCAGCACAAATGCCTGCCTGGCAAGCTCAAGGTCACAAGTTCAATTCCCAGGACCAAAAAAAAAAAAGTAAATAAAAAGGTGTTGGGGATGTAACAGCACAAAGGCTGTGGCTCAGTCCCTCAGACCACAAAATAAACAAATGTGTATGCATGTGTTAGGAGGTTGGTGTTACCCTCATTTTACAAACAAGCTGAGACTAAACACAGCAGACTGTGACTATAATCTTTCGTCTGCCCCCAAGTCACAGGCAGTTTCCAACACGGTGTGCTTAAACTTTAGCCTGCATGAGTGTACTCCTCCTCCTCACGCGCTCTGTGAAGTCTCGGATCTGCTGTATCACACACAATATGACCTCCAGGGCTCAGTCTCTGGGGCCGCTGGGAGCTCCATGAGGGCAGGTGAAGGTCCCCTTCGTGTCCCCAGTGCACGGTGTGTCTCGCTGTAGAGAGACTCTTATCAAAAAGCGGAAAGCAAGCAGCCGTGTTCCTTGTGTCTGAACGACTGGTAGAGCCTAATGGAACGCAGGGTGAAGTAGGTTCTTGTCACGGGGGCCAGCGCCACGGGGCCTGCTGTGGGTTCTGTGGTCCGTGCGAGGCTTCAGCTAGGGGTCGGTGGCCACATCTAGGCTGCAAGCCCACAGGCAGAGTTCTGTGGACGTTCCTCGGCGCTCACGCTGAGCGGCTAATGGGAGGATCTGTTCAGCCCTTCCTCTGACACGGAGCACAAGGGTGTCCGTCCCCAGGGAGCCCAAGAGCCCAGCAGTAACCTCTGCTTCCTTGCAGGCCACTCATCCAAGGACGCCGTGGGCCAGATCTCTGTGCACGTGGACATCACAGCCACTCCGGGCACTGGCGAGCACAAGGTCACCGTGAAAGGTAGAGTCACACGCAGATACACCAACAGCTGATAACCTTTCACACCCACAGCAAGAATGATACAAAAAACTGTGATTTCTCTCATATCTAGCTTTTAAAATAGACATTAATTATAGGATGTGCTGAGACTTTCCTGAAGAAACCACAGCTTTTGGCTTAAAATGGAAGCTATCAATGGCACATCTATTAGCCTATGTTATCCAGAAGATCTAAATGGCTTAAATCCACTGGTTACTAATTTTCAAACCTGGATATATCCTGTGGTTGATCGGTGCTACTGATACTCATTGGCCATTGGTACTGATATTCTTGCTGCTCTCGTAATTCATATACTTACTTTTTTGTATATAATTAGGAACAATCTGATGTTAGTAAATGTCTCAATCTATTGGTTTGATATTGTAAAAACAGTCTTAATGCAGAGGTTATTTCAAGGGTGAAATTTAAGAGTTACCATTTTGCTCATTACACCCATGTTCTACTTATATCATTACAGACTGGGCCTTTTAAATATCCACTTTGATCTACACCATGTCCTCCCAGTATGCTTTAAGACTTACTACCTAATGTACCCTGGTATTCCCAATGCGCCATGGCTGGGGTCTGAAAGAGGCTGCACAGGCTACCGGCCAGGATGTGCCCACACCGTGTCAGTGTCCTCCACGAAGGCCTTTGAAGAATACTTTGTGGACATGGCAGATGTCAGAGTTCAATGAGTCCTGTGCACCTGCCATTCTAAGACCCTGTCCCAAGGGTGTCTTCTTCATCAAAGAAGGCCCACAGAGAACGCCTGCCTCGCCGAGCTGGGAGATGGCGTGGTGGCAGGCCATACACAGGACAGATACCCACACAGAGCACAGGCTTGCACTGGCCAAACAGACACTGAGTTAGACACCCATGGCGGACTCCACTAAGTGCCACTGCTCACAGACTCCAGCACACCATGGTCCCATTTGTGCAAAAGTACATATCAAAGCATTGAAGCTAAAATGTTCAGGCATTGCCTCTGAAAGGTAAAGCTAGACTTTTATAATAATCGATTTCCTGTGTATTTTCTAAACATTTCATGATGAACACATCTCAGTTTTTAACATGAAAACACCAGAGCTCAACCTAAGGAGTAGCGCCAGCCTCTCCTGAGTCACAGACGGCCGTGTGGCACAGCCGGAAGCTGAGATCCCGCCCACTGTGCATTCCAGGGAATCAGCTCTGTTCTTTTTTTCTTTTTTTTTTTTTTTTTGGTTTTTCTCCGGTACCAGGAACCGAACTCACGACCTTGCGCTTGTCAGGCAGGTGCTTTGCTGCTGAGCTAAATCCCCAGCCCCTCAGCTCTGTTCTTCAGGAACTTTTGCATGTCACTGGGTTAGGGCATCACCAAAGGAAAGTTCTGACTTCAGAAGTCATTTTTTAAAATAAAAATGTTAGGCCAGGCCTGGTGGCACACACCTGTAATCCCAGCACTCGGGAAGCTGAGGCGGATTTTGAAGCCAGCCTGGACAACTCACTACATAGAGAGTTCCAGGCCAGCCTGAACTGCATAGCAAGACTCTGTCTCTAAATAAGTAAATAAACTTATTCATTTATTTTAGTATAATGACCACAAGGAGGAAGCTAAGTTTCCACACATTTATTTGCTAGAACTTCACTTTCCCTTCCCTTTTCCATCTTGAATTTCAGTGATTGCCATAAATGACCTGCACTGGCAGACCACAGCGATGTTCCGGCCCTTTGTGGAAGTCTGCATGCTGGGACCCAACCTTGGAGACAAGAAGAGGAAGCAAGGCACAAAGACCAAGAGCAACACGTGGTCGCCCAAGTACAATGAGACGTTTCAGTTGTAAGTCATGAACCAGCTCACTCATCCCGCCAGGCAGGAGCTGCCGCCCAGCAGGAGGCGCTCAGGGGCCCAGAGCGGAGAGGGCTGAGGGAAGCAAATCTGACAGGCTCGAGCGTCCGGGTCACTCCAAGGAGGGAAGCGGCTTTAGCTCCTTCCTCTGCCCACGCAGCTGTTCATGGCTGGCACATCAGGCAGAGGTACAGGAAGTGGGTGCGTGTGGCATAGAGGTCTTGCTGGGGAGTTATCATATATCCTCTGTCTCTAGAAAGTAAACACAGCCACCACTCAGAGCCCAGGGGGCAGACCCTCTGCAGGGAGCGGGTGCCATGGAGCTGAGTCACAGTGCGATAACTGCTGCTTCACTGAGCCCAGGGGGCTCACCGGGCGCGTGGCCTCTGACCTGAAAACCCCAGACCAGCCCTTCAGGGAGGGACATGAGAGCATGTCCAGTAAAAGAAATAGTCAGGACCAGACAGGAAGCAGCCCAGTACACTGAAGTAGGAGCCAAAGTAAACCTTTAGAAAATACATAGGAAAGCAATTAATATAAACATCTAACTGGCAATGACTGAATATTTTAGCTTCAGTGCTTTAGATAGGGACTTCTACACAGTCTCAGGGAGCGACTCTGGCCCACCAGGCCAGACCGGGGTTCAGATGAAGGGAGGCATCCTGGGCTGGGACTCAAATGCACTCTCCCTGTCGATTAAAGAGAGAGAGAAGTCTGAAGCGGACTGCAGGGGTCCAGGCAAGAGATCAGAGTGCGTAAGCAGAGGGCAGGAGGAAAACGCACAGCAGCAGGAAGCCCTGGGTCCATGCTGGAAACGGAGCCTCCAGAAGGAGCAAGCGGGCATCGGTCTGGGGTCATCTGAGATGGGCTCACTCCCAGCAGTGTCTGAAATGCAGCAAGAGCAAGGGGGTGGGTTTCACCACTCCGAGGCGTGGAGGAGAGAGGGGAAGAGGGTGACTGAGGTTGGGAGGTGACGATGTCGTATATAACCGGCCACCCACAAAGAGCAGGGCCTCTGGGGAGGCAGCTTTGCGCCAGCTGCCCACCACCCCATGGGACTTACAAGGTTAAGGACCTACCCTTCGATGATGCCTCCTTCTGGCCAAACCCAGCTGGCAACCAGAGCATGCAGGAGCCCTGCCATCATGGCGGACAGGTTGGCATCTACTGCCAGGGGCAAGGAGGACAGGGAGTGGATCTGCGGGAGCCACAGGGCGTGAGGCCCTGATGGGCTCAGGGGGCCGCTAGGTTTCTGGCCTAAGCAGCTGGGCAGAGAGTGTCTTGCTCAGGTGGGGAATAAGGTGAGGAAATGACATCAGGGGCATGGTTTTAAATCTGTGTTAACTTGAAGAAGCCTACAGGACACCTAAATGGAGCTTCCACGGGAGCAGCTGGGTGAGCTTAGAACAGGCTCCCTCTGGCCACATTTAACCCCAAGAATCTGAACAGCTCCCCTCGTGCCAGACAGGGACTCCACACACCCAGCAGGGCCTCGCTGGCTTGGTGTTTTGTCTGTTCTGCACTCTCGGCCTCCTGCACACCTTGGAGCAGTCTGAATACCTTTCTCTGACCACCCCTCCAAGGACTCTGCCTCTCAAGTTATGCAGCTGCTTTCATCTCATTAAAACGCAAGCTCCAAAGCTTATAGAATCACCGCAGACCTAGACAGGACCCTGTGGGCCCAGGCTTTAAGGATGGCATTCTGATGCATTCTGATGCAAAAGCAGCTAGCCTGCCTCCCTCTTCTGCTCTGTGTGGCTCATTTCCTTTCACATTTTTCAGAATGTCTCTAGAGTAAGCACACAGTTTAGTTGTCAGTGTCTCCTGGAAACAAAAGCTTGACTCTGCAAAATGTTTCAGCAGCAAAACAATCACCTGGGAAAGGAGGGCTGTGGCAGCTGGGTCAGCTAACACACAGCGGTGCACTCGCTAGGAAGGTGAGACGGTCCGAGGGAGAGTGAGGCAGGGCTGGAGGAGCAAGGGGGAAGCCGGCTCACGCAGCGCCGCCAGCTCCTCGTCAGCAGCTCTGCCCGGCAGCTGTGCTCGCTGTGTCTGCAGAGGTGTCCACGGCTTCCCTCCTGGCAGGTCTCTGTTGCGGCAGGAGACACGACACCGAGCTCCCCCGGCTGCGGCAGATTTGATTGATTCCAGAAATCCGTATCCAATTTAGCATCTCTGAATAGTGCCTCGTAGTCCCTTCCCAAGAAAAGGCTCCTAGAGAGGGCAGGTGTGTGGGAGTCCTGGCACAAAGATTGCACCAGCTGGTGTTGCAGTGTGCAGAACTCTCCACAAGTGCCCTCACCCTGGCCCGGCTCCCAGCTGCCATGGCCCTGTTCTGCACACAGGCTCGATACCGGGAGGAGGCCCTGCCTCTGAATACAGCACCGCACTTAACGCCCCTCACTGTACTATGTGTCACCTTAAGGCACCAAAGCATTGTTTCTACATAGGAGAGAAGGAGCTTTTATGTTAGATGAGTATCTATGTATCTGTGTAATAAGCTAAGTAGAATCTAGAGGGTCGTGGCCGAAATGCAAGGACAGTGCAAATGCCAGCAGAACACCCGGAGGCCAGCAGCAGTTTCCGACAGTGCTTTCCAAGTGTGAGTGAGCTTCTCCCCCTGTGCTTCTCACCCACACAGCACGCTGAGCAAGGAGAGCCGGCCGGCGGCCTGCGAGCTGCACCTGGCGGTGAAGGACTACTGCTTCGCCCGCGAGGACCGCGTAGTCGGCATGACCGTGATCCGGCTGCAGCACATCGCGGAGAAGGGGAGCCACGGCGCGTGGTACCCGCTTCTGAAAAGCGTCTCTGTGGACGAAACGGGCCTGACTATCCTCAGGATACTCTCCCAGAGGACTGGCGATGACGTGGCGAAGGAATTTGTGAGACTGAAATCCGAAACGAGAGTTGCTGACGAGAGCGCTTGAAGCCAGGCCGCAGGCGTCCCTCGGGAGCGCTCCCGCGGCCGCTGCATGCCTCTGCACGCCTGGAATGCCGTCGCGGCGCGCCCGTGTTGCTGGTGCCCAGCGCCAGTGCCAAGGGTGTGCGGGGCCTGCCCGACTTTTACACCGTATCTCTGGTCTTTGGGAAAGAAATGCTCCATGAAGTGCCAAAATTACGCTGTGAAGTGAAATATCAAGATACCTTTAAAACTTTCTTTCACCTCCCCGCTTCCTCACCCACAAAACCAGCTGCAGCACAGTCTGAGTTCGCCCGGTGGTCGCCCCTGTGAAACCAGTTTGTGCCACCCCTCCCTGGAAGCACTGCTACTCGGACTCTGATTTCTTTCGCCATACTTCACCGTACACATCTCACCCATACCCTTTTCTACCATAACGGAGATGCAGGGACTTCTAGAGTGTTTGTAATTTTATAGACCCAGATATATTGTGATGATTTTTGCATACAAGTTAAAATAGAAAAGGTGGGAAATGTTTTATGTTGACCAATTTCCAACCTTTCTGAAATATCACTGTGAAGCAATTCTATCAAAGCAAATTTACAAGCAGCAGTCCCAAATAGTTTGTTAACATTTGATATACCAACGAAAATACGTCCTTTGAAACTGCCAGGGTCACGTCATATTCTTGGCACAGGTGAGCTGATGCAGCTGCTGAGCAGCACGGGGCATCAGCTCACGGATCCCCTTCCTTGGGAAGTCGGAGATGAATGGCTTGGAAACGGAAAATCTGGTTCTTTAGGTTACCTGGGATAAGCAACTATATCATTAGTATTCTCCCTCTGACAGTTATGACTAGCTCCTTATTTGCTTAACTCTATAATCAGTTAAGTGTTTCTTTTTAAAAAATATTCAACAATTTATACTGAATGCAACATTAGTCTATACCACGCTGAAGTCGAGTGATGGCTTCTTCTATCTTGTGAAAAATGTAAGCTCCAGGAGAAATGGCTTACAATTTTGTAATTTGTGTTATTTATACACCCCAAAAGCATCAGATACAATAGAAAAAACACATAGCTTGGTGCACAAAAATACACCTAGGCTGCTCTTTGATTCTGAAATAGTTATGTGTTACATTTTCTGGATTTTTTGATTTGGCTCTTTGGAGTCTGTATGTGAACACTGGCTATAGCCCATGCTCTGGAATTGCTAACCTGTGGTCATAACTGTTAGTGGAAACAAACCCCACTGCACTGAGTGTGTTTTGTGGATAGACAAGGAAGCAATCGCATCCTCTCTGTCAGAACCATCCTGAAAGTGAGTGAAGCACACAGACCGGTGGGGCTGGCTAATTCGTGTTCCATTCTTAGGCAACCGCTTCGTTTCTGACTTTTCCAAGTTTGTGTATGATGCGACCCCCTGGCACAAGCATTAATAAAGGCTGTGACTGAGCACACACAGCGCTGTTGTTGCAGCTGCCTTCTTACTTCTCTCCTGTGGCACCATCTCGTTGCTTAGTGATAAAAACACTTAGGCTGTTTGCTGTATGTGACACTACACATTACTTGGCTTTAAATCTCATGAAAAGCTGAGATGCTAAAATGTATTCCAGGCATTATATTCATGGAAACAACTATATGTTACAAACATTGAAAATAAGGAAGAACTAATGTATTTACGAACATGTTGTTGAACACTGTGAGACCCATAAAGAAAATTCAATGTTTACATATATAACTACGCAGCATTATTAAACAAGGACTTAAGCTACAGAAGGTTTCATCAACTGTCTGAGTAATATTTTCTAGATTTATCTTAAAACGATTGATAGTGGCTTTACAGAACATCGGCTTGCGTTCTGTAGGAGCACATTATTGTCATGAAGCATGAAACGCTGGGATAAATGGCAGTTCAGGACTGCGCAGATCACTTAGAAGTTAGGAGGTATTTTTCACAGTACATGTTTAATTGGATCAGTTGATTCTGTCTTTTAAAAATACTCACAATAGATATCAGACACTAACAGGCAGTGTGAATTATGCACATCCATCTCTACCATCAAGGGCCGGTGCTACTTCTGAAATAAGTGCTGCACATTTTTTCTTCCAAGGCACAAGCATTTGCCGTGGGTTCAGAACAAACCCTCTGGCGTTTGCTTACCCACAATCACCGCCACACGGAGGCCTGCGTCGTCTCTGTCAGCTTCAGTGCTTCACTGATATGTGCGACAGTTTATTCCTCTTACTACAGATGAGATGCACACAGGAGAAACGCGGTGATTCATCTACACGTCGACCTCACAGCACACGTCCTTAAAGTTAAGTCAAACTCAGCCAGAACATTTAAAACCTTAACGGAGCATTTTCTGTTCAAGGGAATTCTGATGAATTGTCTAAGGTAAGTAACCAGCCATCTGTCACAACCTGCTAGCTCATTTATTTCTAGCAAAATTTATACATTGAATTTACCTTAAGTGAGGCACATTTATAAATGACAGTTCTACCTTAATGCCTTTCATTTGGTCTTTTCCTTTTAAAAAATGTGTGAGGGAAGATTTTCTCACTTCTGTGTATTAAAAATATGATTATAGTACATAGTCATTGTAGGGACTAAGCAGAATGTTTATCATGGCACCTGAATAGTGAAAAATAATCGTATTTCCACACTTCTCCAGGCATATGCGTGGGTAGGTGTGTGATTCCCCCTATACCACTCGCCACACAGGGAAGAGTCCACCGCCCCGGGACCAAACATGTCCTCTGGACTTGCTGTCCCCAGTCAGGGATCTGTGACTCAGTTTTAATTTCTGTCCTGTGGACCCAAAGCCAGGCCATGGCCTGCTGGGAAATAAACCCCTCTTTACAAATATTGCATTATATATATTTAAAGGTACCCATTTTTTCATTTTATCATAACTTTCAGATAAGGTACATCTTACAATTATTTGGCATGGCATAGTTTAATTGTTTTTTCCTATCTTAATGGTATAGAATAATAATTCATGTTACAATGAATGATTTGGAATCAAGTATGTTTGTGAAAAAATGTTTACAAATGCCTAAGAAAGTAATTAGTTATCTGTTTTTACTTCATGTCTATTTAACTGGCATATACTAAAACGAACTCTTGGCAGGCGTTTCTGTGTTTGGATATGCTCATAGTCAGCTACTAGCTGCAACGGTCGAGCTGAGGAGAGCTCTGTCATCACCAGAATTCCCACGGTGCACCACCACCAGCAAATTCTGTTTCAGCGTCACCCCGGCCACACCAGCCGGTTTGCAGCCCCCTAGCTTGGTGATTCCAAGGTCAAGGGACTGAGTTGGGCCGTGTGCACACTTGTGAGCCCGGAGTGTTCCTGCAGCACCGTGCGCTTGAGTTCATCCGTGCTGTGACTTGTGTCCACATTAACTGCCCACGGTGCTGAGTTGCAGTCCTGCTCACGAACGGTCTATCGATTCTCTAGGTCATAGGCATTGCGTTGATTCCAGGTTTGAGATACTTGACAAATCTGTTTAAACTTTCACATACAGGCTTCTGTATGTATTTGGGTTAGGATGAACACCTAGCAGTAGGATCTCTAGATCATTTGATGAGTATACAGCCAACTATGTGAGAATGTGTCAGACTTTCTCCCGAGTGGTTGTCATTTTACATTTCCAGCTGTCGTGTGGGAGAGCCCCTGCTGCCCCGAAAAGACACTTGGTATTGTCAGTTCTTATGCTAGTCCCTGAAGTATGTATGCAGCCACGTGTTGCCAAGGTTTCAGCTTATGTTCGCCTACTGATGGTAAGGATCTCTCGATGTGTTATTTCCCATCGGATATAATTATTAGTGAAGGGTCTGCATATTGTTTGCCCACTTAATTAATGGATTGTTCATTGGTACTGAATTTAAATACATCTTTTTTTTTTTTTGGTACCGGGAATCAAACTCACAACCTCATGTTTGCCAGGCAGGCACTGTGCCACTGAGCTATATCCCCAGCCTAAAATACATCTTTGTGTATCCTCTATGCCAACTTTTATCAGATGTGAAACTTGCACATTCTTCAGGCCTGCCTGGAACTGCATGGTAAACAGTGTCTTTCACCTAGAGAGGAAAAGTATTTAATTTTGATGGAGTCTAATGTACTATTTTTTTCTTTTTCTGATCATGTCTTTGCTATCATAAATCTTTTGCCTCACAGCCACAAAGGTTTCCTCCTGTGCTTTTTAAAAAAGGTTTGATTCTTTGAAGCTTTCCAATATGGCCTTTATGGTTCGTTTTGAGGTCATTTGTTGGCGTTGGTGTAAGGTGTGAGGTTTGCGGTCACTGTTAATTCGTGATCGTGTGGCTGATCAGTTCATCTGCATCGGCATGGCCCATTATTCCAGCACTGCACTGTTTATTGAAAAGGTTACACTTTCCCCTTGGAATTACCTTCACTCCTTCACCGTGAATCATTTGGCCAAACGTGTATGTGTCTGTGTCTGACATCCACCCCCACTCTGTTCTCCTGACCTTACTATAAAACTGATGTGAGCTGTAGGTTTGCTTTAGACCCTTTACTGGCTTGAGTGAGCTCCTTTTCACTCCTACTTTGCTGAGTTTTTGTCATGAATGACATTTAAACTTTGTCTAGTGCTTTTTCTGCAAAGATAGAGATGATCACATAAGTTTTCTATGGTCTGTTAAGAGTGAACTACTTTGGCTGTTTTTTGGAAGGAGTTTGCATTGCAGGGATACATCTACTTGGTCCCAGTGTGTTTTACCCTGATGCATACTGCTAAATTCAACTTGGTAATAGTTTGTTCTGTTTTTTTTTTTTTTCTTTTTAATATTTGTACCTTGTTTGGGAGTCAGGATATTTACAGGTCCTAAAATGCACTGAAAATTTTTATATTCTGCATAGGATTGTGCAGACATGATATTAGATCTTTCTTAAATATTTTCTAGAATTTAACTGTGCAAACATTTGGGCCTTGATATTTTTAATTGAAGGTTTGGACAACAAATCCAGTCACTTTACTAGATAGAAAATCTTCTAAGTTACCTATCTCTTCTGAGTAGGGCTCAATTATCTGCAGCTTTTAAGGAGTTTAACTTGTCGGATGGATGGGCATAGAGCTGTTTAGTATGCATTTGTACCTGATGTATGTGTACTGAAGTTACTTCTCAGTCTGCATGTGGCCATGTTTGTGTCTTCTGTTTTCATTTCTCAGTGACCCAGGCTGGCTAAGGGCAGTGCCTGGTTAATCATTTCCAAGAATAAGGTTGGACACCCTGGTCTCAGGGGCCGAGAGCCCAGTGCAGGCCGAGGGCTGTGTGTTCTGCAGGGCAGGGTTCTGTCACCACATCAGGGTGGCCCACAGCGGTCCTCCCACCTCCAGTACTCTTACTGCTTTCCTGTCCTCTCTGTTCCAAAAAAGTGCTGAGATTTCCAAGCCTACTTGTGAGTTCTTACAGGTCTTCTTTCCTGTTCATCGGTCTTGTTTTACATTTTGAAGTCTGTTGATAGGAATATACACACTTAGGATTGTGGTTCTTCTTGGTGAATTTACTCCATTAATGTTGCTCCTCATGCTGTAAGTTCTGCTGTTCCACTGTCTAAAGTGGAACATATTAGTATAGCATTGGTATACTGCAAGTAACATATTAGTATAGCATTCTTTTAGCTCATGGTTGAACAGTCTATTTTTCCATTTTTTCTCTTTAAAACGATATTACATTTGAAGTGTGACACAGAGAACACATGCCTGGGTCTTGGATTTTTAAAAAATCCAACACAACAATCTCTGCGTAGCTGGTGCACTTGGACCAGTTTGATTACTGGGAATTCTCCTTTTTCCTCTCTTTCGACTGTCAGAATCCCAAGCCGAGAAGGCTGGCATAGACGCGCCCGATGCACTGCCTGCGGTCGTCTCTGTGGGAGGCGTTCAGGCCACGAGCACAGCGGGCAGTGGAGGTCCTGGCTGTGAGCAGCCTCGTGGGCATTCCCTGCAATGATGCAGCCGACTCACAGAATACTTAGCAGTGGAAACAGAATCAAACAAGCCATCTGCTAAAGCTCCTCACTTAAGAATAAGAAGCTAAGACACAGGGGGGAAATGACCAGCATGACAGGAGCACCGAGGAGCTTGTCTCCCTGCGGCCCCTCAGCTGTGCCCCGCCGAGCCCCAGTTCTGCCCGGGCACCTGCAGTCACTCGGCCTCACGGCTGTGGCCAGAAAGCCAAGGAGCCACTTCAACCCCAGCTGCGCTCACGCCTGGGCTGCAGCTGGGTCAGCTGTTTGTTCCCGTAGTTCCGTAGGCTCGACCTGAGCTGAGTCCCCTCTTTCGAGTGCAGCGGTATAGAAATAGGCGTGAGCATTAACACGTGGAGTCACTTCTATATTCACAGCCAAATCAATGGTTCAACTATAAAAAAGATCCACGTTTCCCAAGATGTGTGCTTTTAACCTCAATTTTGTGAAGGAAGAAAA